ATCACATAAAATAAAAGAAAGTACTAAATGGTGATGTTATTTTAAAGTGAATAAAGAATCTTTTATTAATCTTAATAATGTGATGATGAATGAAGTAACTAATTTGCTGTAATTAAAATAGTAAAAGAAGATGATGTAATAATATATTCATAGATGATAATAGATAATAAGAGAAATGGCAGTCATAATAGTTTTATTAATATATAAAATCGTAATTCTATTTTTCATATTTTTAACAAAAGGAAGAAAAGGAGTAATAATTTAGAGAATGGCAATGAAAAACTTAATAGTGTTGTTATTTAAATTTGAAAGTAAAGACATTTTCTGACATGAAGAATAAAAATATATAAAATAAGAAGATATTATTAGAATTAATTTGATATATTTTAGAAAACATCTAACTATTGAATATATTTATATATAGAAATTACATTTTTAACTATATAAAACAGATGAATTAATACACTCTTTTAAATAATATATCAAAAAAATTATATCCATTCATTTAATTAAAGAAAGTAATATTTAAATCATTAAATATATTCACTTATTGAATTATTTAAAAAAGAAATACGAAACAGATAAAATATATTCAATGTTAATTTACTTTCAATTATAAGACAATAAATTGAAAAGAATATTTTTGATATAATAAAAAAAAGAATAAATACAGAATGTTAAAGATTACAACAATAATTATTTATTCAAACAAGTAGAATTATAATGAATCTTTTAAATATTGTTCTTTTTGTTTAATTACTTCCATTTTATATGCTTTAATATCTCTAACAAAATAATCATTTGCACGTTGTTGAGCAGGAGATTCTTTATTTGGATTATCTAATAAGTCTTGTACTCCAACAAGAATTTGTTTAATAGAAGTTGTAGGTTTCCAGTCATATGATTCATTTAATATACTAAGACAAATTTGTCCATTTGGAAATACATTTGGATGGAAAAATCCTTCTGGTAAATAACAACGTGGTGGTGATGCTGGGTATCCAGTAGAAAATTTCATTTCAACTGGATAATAACCATTTTCCCATATTGTTCCTTTCTTTCCTGGAATTAAACATTCCCAATTAAATAAATCAGGTTGTCCTTTTTTCATTATTGGTCTTGCAACAAATCCTGGGGGATGATCTTTTCTCCAAGCTCTTCGTTCTTCTACAATTCTACTAACTGCAGTAAGTTGACTCATACTAATTTAATTGAATTAATAAAGTTCTTTTTATTTTTTAATTTAAAAATTTTTTTTGAAAAACAAAAAAAGGTGTTATAAATCTGATAACAAATATTTTGTTTATAAATTTCCTATTGGCAAATTTTCGTTCCAACATCATTTCCTTCTAAAAAAAGTTCTAAACATTCTTTTGTACCTTTAAAAACATATGACTGAATATTGTGTTTTTTTGCTGCTATCATTAATTCATTAATTTTTCCAGCCATACCCCCAGTTACGTCTATTCCTTTACAACCATGCAAAAACTTTTTTATTGATTCATAATTTTGCTCATTTATCAATGGAATAACCTCTCGTTTATCATTAAGAACTGGGCTATTACAAATAAATCCAATTCTATGACAACCAAATCTAATAGCAAGTTCTGGAACTAGTTGGTCAGCAGAAAGAATACAACTACCTTGCATAATATCCATTGCAACATCACCATGAACCACTGGAATAACTCCTTGATTAACTAACATTTGAAGTGGTTGTAAATACATATCAACAATTCTTTTATTTTCAGTAACAACAAAATTAAAAGGATGGAATGGAATAGCACTAATCCCTTCTTTAATCAATGAGTTAACAATAATAGAACTTAGTTCTTGCATTGCCATTTCACATTCAACAACACCAGTTTTATGAAATCCTTCTGCAAGATGATATTTTGCTGCAGGGGTATGACCAAATGACCCAGCTCCATGAGCAAGTATAATTGGTTGTTTAGGATGTGAATGAATAAATTGAGCCAAACATTTACTAAACAGATGTATATTCTCTAAAATTGGAGGACCATCAACTCTGTTCTTTTCAGTTAGATAACTACCTCCTATCTTTAAAATAATAAGGTTTGGTATTGAGTTCATTTATAAGTTTAAGTATTTTTAAGATTTTTATTAAAGTTCCTTTGAAACAACTGGAACTTTTCATACTCCATTGGTGTTCGACTCAATTAAATGAACAGAAATGATCACAGTAATTCTTAAGTTTTGTCACGAACTATTCATTTTTATTTCTTTTTTTTATCCTAAAAATAAAGCAGATTAATTAAATGACATTTGACTCTTCATCTTGCAACAGATAATGAAAAAATAATATCTTAGTTAGAAATATGTTAGATTCTCAAATTTATAGTACTTCTTATTATTTTTATATTTTTACAATATAGATATAAAAAACATTCTTTTCATTAACTTATTATGAAAAAAAAAAGAAATTAAAATAAAATAGTTTAAATATTAATAATTAATAGTTGTGAAAATGAACAAGAACTAGTTAATCAGTTAACTCTGAATTTTTTAAAACTATCATTTAATTTTTGTTATAAAATATGAAATTCATTTTAATTTAATAATATTTTCTTATTCAGCATTATGATACAATACATTTAGTTCATTAAAATGTTTTCTTTTAATTTAATAATGTGTTTTATATTTTATGACTTTTCTCTTTATAAAGTTAGAGTTGATTTAATTTTTAATTAATAAAATACTATCTTTATTAATAGTATTAATAATATTTATAATTTACTCCTCGAAAATATACTGTATCTAATTCAAACACTTTCATTTTTTTTTAACTAAAATAGAACTAGACTAATAATGTTAAAACTATCGATTTAGAATAATGACATTATGATTTTACATATTATCGTTTTGACACATTAACACATTATTTTTGGTTCTGATAAAAAGTACTGACTTTCTTCTAAATTGAATATTATTTTATATTATAATGTTATTAATATAATTAATGTGTAAATTAAAGGAAAATTTACATAAACTAATTATCTGTTACTTTAAAATCGAATTGAATAATAAATAGAAGAATTATTCTGTACTTTAGACAAGAAAGAAATTTTTATAATAAAATAACTGATTATTGAAAATATTCATTCACAATATTCTTATTAACAAAATTTGTCATTAATCCAAATGATAAAAAAAAAAGAATAATTTAATTATTTTTATTGTTTTATTTTATGTATTACATTATTCATTTTTTAAATACTCAAATAAAAGTTATTAAAGAGATTCATTGTTATCAAATTAAAATTTCATTTTCTTTTATTAAGACATTTATTCATTATGACAAAACATGATAATTAAATATAATAAATGAATTGAATTATAGAAATAGTATTTGATTAGTTTTGTTATTGAATATGCATCTATAATTATTTTTCATTTATTTTATCTTAAAATAGATTAAAACGAATAATTAAAATAATAAATTAAATCATTATAAAATATAGGATTTGTTTATTATATTATTTTTTGGAGCTTCTTCATTTTTTGGCTCTTGGTAATCAATGAGATACTTGTCAAGATTGATTCATTTTAATGAAGTATCGGGATGGAAATAACTATTCTATTAAAAATAAGAATAAAACTAAAAGTGTTAGTTTTTAAGTAATTATACAAAAATAGTAAAAGAAATAATTCAAAGAGCTATTAATGAAAACGATAAAAAGTATGGATCTAAAAATGATCACAAGTCACAGAATCAAATGGCAAGACAAAAAAAAGAGGATCCTCATTTAATCAAAATAAAAAAAGAAAAAGATGATAAGAAAAAAGGAGTAGAAGAAAAAAAACCAAAGAAACAATCGTTAAAAACCATAAAAAAAGAACCAACTCTTATTAAAATTAAAAAAGAAACAACAGATGGAACAATAAATGAAATTAAAAAAGAAATTGTACCGATTAAAAAAGAAATTCAACCCATCAAAAAGGAAATACAAACAATAAAACAAGAACGTAAAGAAACTTTATCAAAAGTATCATCAATATCTGAAAAAACGTCGATTCTTGTTCCTAAATCAAAAGTAGTTAAAAAATCACCTTTGGAAAGAGTAGCAGAAATAAATAGAAGAAATGCACTTACTTCAATCCCTAAAAATGCTTTCATGAAATTTGTTTGTTAACTTTTATTTAAGACAACTGTTTTGTATCAAAAAATATTATCTACTCAAACTTCCATCTTAAATTATCTTCTTTTCGCATGTCTTTTCTTTTCACTTATCAAGAAATAATAACTAAATTAATCATTAGGTTAAAGATCTTGTTCTTAGTAATCAAGACTTTTTAGATAGAAATGAACTCCGATTCCAAAGAGATGCTATTCTTGCACTTCACTTTATTGCAGAAGATTTTTTGGTAAAGCTCTTTGAAGATAGTAATTTATGTGCCCTTCATGCCAAACGTGTGACTGTTGATCTACGTGATATTCGTTTAGTCCTTAGATTAAAGAAGTTGTATTGAATCATTAAAGATTGTTTTATTCTATTATTTTATAATAAAAAAAAGAAGAAATTGAATAATAAATTAAATTTAACCTAAAGTTATTACTCAAGAAAGGTCATGATAACCATTGTTACTTCTCTTTTTACGATATATTATGAATCCAATAATAAAGGCAAAGATAGTAATAAAGATCAAGAAGAGAACAACACCAAAAATAATCCATCCAATTTTAGTTCCATTATTATCTTCAGTATTATTTGATGATTCAGCACTTGGATTTGGTGCAGAAGAACTTGTTGATGGCTGAGAACTTGAAGCACTTGGTGATGAAGATGAAGAAGAGTCTGATGATGGTACTTTTTCAAGTTTCATCAATATTTCAACATCAATAAATCCAATTTCATTTTCATTAAAACCAGAAACTAATACAAGTTTTGGATCAACACCATTTACTTCAACTTTCAAAATAGTACCAAATTTTCCACAACTACCTGATTTAAAATCAGAATATTCTGATACACTTGGAGGGGATGGGAAACTGTAATTTGTCTTATCGTTACCACGACATGAATCATGTGCTGAAATAAATGTTGGAATTTCAGTACCTGTTGCACAAGTCATGAAATAAACACTACCTTTATAACCTTCAGGAATTAAATAATATGAACCACGAACATTCTTATGAGTTCCATCTGGGAATGTCATGTAAGTAGCATAACTATATTGAGTATAAGTAGTCATTCTATAGAATTTCTTTGATACAGGAAGAACCATAGCTTCACTACATTGTGAATAAATTGGTCTATCATTTGTACATAATGATAAAACAAATTGTCCACTTGTTCCTTGACTTTCAGCTCCAACAAATACATAATAATTATTTCCTGGTTGTGCTTTAATAGTAACATAACCTCCTCCATTACACCCTCTTGTATCATTAACATCAGCAATACAAACTAATTGCCCACATGATCCTGAACCAACAGCAAGATATGAATCATATTGAACTGCTTGAGAACATGTTGAAATAGAAACTTGAGTTGCTTTTTCTACACTAAAAGTATACCATACAGCTTCAGTTTTTTGTGTTCTAGAACAAAAACCATCAGATGGTTCAGCGTTCAAATTCCAATCAAGAATAGTATATGGAACCATAATAGAACGAGCATTTTGACAATTTTCGTGTTCAATAGTTTCTTCAATAACAATATGAACAGCAAGAGCCTGACTTGTTCCTCCAAATGCAAAAACAAAAGCAGTTTGTTTAATATCAATCAATACTTCCTCTCTTCTATTATAAGAACAATAATAATTACCACATCCACTGTGAACTTCAATTGCATTTGGTGAATTACCTTCTTCATCATATGAGAATAAATGGTATCCTTTCTTATTAGGAAGAGCATCAGTTCCAATAAATTTATACCATTTTCCTTTACCATTTTCTGGTGTTCCTGAACATCCATGAGGTGATTCAGATAATTCGCTTAAAAAAGCAGTTTCAGTTAATGAAGAAGTAACTAATAATGCACTTTCACATCGGTCATGTTTACTAGTACTGGTATATTCCATAAAGAAAGTTAAATCACATGGACCATTAATACAAGCTACACGAATATAATATTCTCTACCATTTTCTGGCATAAAATCAAGATAACCATGATTTCCACAAACAACATCAGACTCTTTAATACAAGTACTTTGACTACAAGAATCAAAAATTTCAATTTTAGTTTCACCTGATTTAGAAGGACATGTTTGAATTGATACACCTGTTCCTGTACCTTTAAATGTAAAGTATGCAGCTGGGAATGAAAGAGTTGTATCACTACAAATATTATTAGTTTTAGTCCATGAGTCATTTAATGGTGCTGATCTACTAAATGGTAAAGAAATAATAGAAATTGCTTGTTCACAAACAGTTGGAATTGCTTGAGCAAGAGATTTAATAGTTAATTGGAAAGTACCTGCTTCTTGATAATAAGAAGTAACAAAAATATAATAACGTTGATCTTTAATTGTTGGGAAATAGACTCGAGCTGGAACATCTCCAACATTACCAGGACATCCTCCATCAGCTGAAGTATAACATGGCATATTATCACAATTTCCTTCAATAGGTGCTTTAACAACTGCAAGAAATACATCAAATGGAAGATTAGAACCACAGGTATCAGCTACAATAGCTCTTCCATCTCCAACAAAAGTATACCATAACCCACGCACTGAACTGTAAATAGTACAGTCAAGTTTAGTTGAATCACCTGCTAATGTATTTCCTTCAACTACAGCAGGGAATGATTTAATTTCTAATGCTTTTTGACAATTAGTATTTGTTGGATTAGTTTCTTGTGCAGTGAAACGGAAACGACCATAAGCACCAGGAGCAGAATAAACAGCAACATAAACTGGTTTTCCTGCACTAACAAAGACCTGTAATTTAGAATTAGTAGAACATTCAGGAAAGTCGTCATTCATTTCAATGAAGTTTGTTGCAGCAGTTTCACCACAAGTATGATATGCAGCAATTTTAGTATCGACTAATGTATATGCAGAACATGTAGAAACAGTAAATATAGTATCTTTAGTTGAATTAAGAATATACCACACTGGCTTAACTAATTGTTGGACACCGTTATTATCTTCAATTAAGAAGTCAGTTACGTCAGCATCAATTTTATCATAAGCAGTAAAAGGAAGGTTAATGACGTGTAATCCTTGATTACAACTAGCACTAAGTGAAAATGATATAGTTAAACTAAAAACAAGAAGAGTCAGACAACTCATTGACATTAAATTATGAGTTTCAGATTCTAAGATTAAAGAAGCAGGCAATTTATTTGCTTTTGAACCTCAAGGAAATAGTTTTTTTATGGTTGAATGAAAATTCAAGGGTTTGATAACAATTCAAAAATCTGTATTATTTTTATAGGAAACTTTTAAAAATTAAATAGAAAAAAAGTATAAATAAAAAGTTTATAATAATTAACACCATTCATTTTTCCTTTTTTATTATTCTTTTTTTTTTTGGAAAACAAATTCATTCTTTATAAATAATTGTTTTAGTTCTTTAATAAAGCAATTAACTTAAAGAATAATAAGTTTTTGAATAAGATAAATTAATGTCTTTATGATTGTTAATATATAATTTATTATATCTGAAGTACTTTGAAAAGTCTTGTACATATAATTCTTTTCTGAACATTGTAAAGTTATTAATATAATATGAATATTATTATCAAACATCTTATTCTTTTTAATTTATTCTTATTTTTATTCTCTTCTTTATTTAAATTGGTTTTTATTTAATATAATTAATGAAGTTGGTAATAAGATTTACTTATTTAATGAATTGTTCTTCCTTTAGTATTACTGCATTTTATCTTATTAATTTAGTTTGACTATTCTAGTTGTTTTCTGACAATTAAAAATCATATGGTAGTAAATTATAACTAAATATTATTTAATTGAGAGAAATTAATAAAGAAGTTATAAAAATAGATATTATTTTCAACTACCTTATAAATGGAAGTAATAAAATTATAGAGTTTATTGAAAATGATGGCAATTCAATTACAACACATAAGAGATATATTTTTATTAAAACTTAAAGTAAAGGGATTTATTTACTATTTCATAGGTATTAAGTTAAACATTTAATATTTATCAAAATATAACAAAAAAGAATTTGTATTGTTTATTTAAATAGTTATTTTCATTCATTGGTTTGATAAAATATCATTAAAATATTTAAATATAACAAAGCATATTCCTAATGAACATGTTTTTTTAAATCAAAACAATTAATATTCAAAACAATTAGTCTTTTGAGTATTAAATTTAAATATGAATATGATATACGATGAATTAAATATAATATTGAATTAATATTATGATAGGTGATGAATTAATAATCATGTATAAAAGTAATATGATATAATTAAATAATTAATTTATATAAACTTGGTTTTGATTCATTGAAAATAGAAAATGTCTTATTTTCATAGTTTAATAATGATATTATAAATTTTTAAATAATATCAAAAATAATATATTAAATAATTATATTCTAAATGAATAAGTCAGTATAATTAGAACTTGAATAAAATTAAAAAATCATAAGCAATTAATTAAGTATTAAAAGAAACAG